TTCCCATACCCAAAGCCCCAGGCGTGAATACTAAATGGTTGGGAACACAGGACAATTGGAGTTTGTTCTAAAACAGCAGTTCACGACCCCTTTGGGGGTTGAACGACCCTTTCACAGGGGTCGCCTAAGACCATCGGAAAACACATATATAATTACATATTGGTTTTGTGATTAATCCCTATGCTTTAATTATGTTCAATTGGTTCTGTTCAGCACACTCATTGGTTGAATTTTGGGATGCACTGACTTTCTCCAAAGCTACCTCTCTCAGTTAAATGTCCTTCCATTGCGGGGTAGAATCGCAGACGTGCAGGATTCCTTTGATTTCTGTTTACATATATAATTGATTTCAGAGAGGAAGGGAGAGGGGGAGAGAGACAGAAACATCAATGATGAGAGAGAATCATTGATCAGCTGCCTCCTTCAGGATCAATCCATTGAGCCTGCAACCTGGGCATGTGCTCTGACCAGGAACCGAACCGTGACCTCCTGATTCCTAGGTCCCCACTCAACCACTGAGCTATGCCGGCCGGGTGTGGGTAGCACTTCATTGTAGTTGAAGGACTCTGGTTTGGGATCAGGGCACCTCAAGCCTAGCCATCACTTTCTTTCACTTGCCCCATGGGAATTTGGACTAATCTTGTAACTGCTGTTTCTCAGAGATAATGGCTGCTCTTTAAACTACCTTATAATCAGCACACGGTCTGCATGGCAACAGGGGCGACCACAGTGACCTCTTATATAAGAAGTTACAACATTTCTTCTTATCTTTGCCTTTTCTATGCTTCCTCATTTCTCTAGGCAAATTGTAGGTGGTCACATTTTAGTTACCTTGCACACAGTAAAAAACCAGAAGGGAAAAGTACATGGTGATTTACATGTGCACATGTGTACACACATATATTCATATTCTCTCTCTCTCTCTCTCTCACCATTAATTAAACAGCTACACAGCCAGACCAGATGGAACTACATCTTAAGATACTTTACATGTAGGCAACCCTCTTAGACCCTTACTCAGAGCTTACACTCTCATTTTATGTGTAATTCTAACAGAACTTGTTTATCTAACTTCCATGTAGAATAGAAGCAGCAAACAGACAGAACAAATACGGGATAAAGGAGGTGGATATGTGGAGAGCATGAACTTCTGAGTGCTGAATGCCCAGCCACGAGGCAGACAAAAAAATAAATCAATTTGAACAGAGCAATCTGGGGCCACTAAGTTTAGGGCTAATAATTGTTGGGCCTCCATGGATCCCGGCTTGTAGTGACGCAGCGAGGTCTGATCCCTTCTGTTTTGGAGGATGAATCATCCGGGAGGCTAAATTAAGCTCTGTCTCTTCTGTTTAGAAAGCATGGACATGGGCACTCTAGCTAAGGAAGAGTTATGTCTAAAATGTTAAAAACTTTCAAAAAAGACTTGGCTCCTAAGAATCGTGGGGTTGGAAAACACTGTAATCAGAACAAAATTACAATTTATGGAGTAAGCATTTGACAATAACTGTCTCTATTGAGCTGACCAGCTCAATGTGGCCTCTGCTCCCCGTGAATTGAAGTTGGTGAGCTAGACAGAGGGAGTCTTTTTGGCATCCCAATGTTAGATGGATCTTATTATTCTTTCCAAAAATATAGAGAAGGAAGTTAGAGGCAAAGAAGAGAATTTATCCATTGCTACCATGATCCCATGTCCAAACATCCTTCTGACTTCTCCCCTTCAAGCAAGTCCCTGTATTTCCCACCATACCTACAACGTTCCCTCCCTACTCCACCTGCTCCCTCCTGCCCCACCTCACGGGTCCAAGGCTGTTCCTGTCCTTCAGTCTGGCTCAGTGCCACCTCTTCCACGGAGCCTTATGGAACCTTTAGTTGAAACTGATCTCTCCTCTAACCTTCCAAGGGATGTCACTGATCTCTCTCTCTCTCCCTCTCGTACGTTTCAATTTCTATCCTGTATTACAACGTTTTTTTTTTGTTTGTTTGTTTCTTTTTCCCCTTTAGATTGTGGCTTCCTTTTCTCAATAACCTATAAATTGCTTGAGGGCTGAATCTGGATTTGATCCATTTCTGTGTCTCCATTAGCACCTGGCATAGTATCTTACGCAGAAAGGGTGTTCGATGAACACTTACTGAATGGCTACATGAATGAATGCAACCAGCCAGTTATTTGCCCTTTGCATTTGCCGAGGCTACGGTGTTAACATAGAGAATTGGGGATTCAGGGGGAACATGACTTTATTGATGGAAGCGTTCATGTGGAAAATTAGCACTCTGACTCCTTTTCCCTGAGGACAGTAACAATTTTCCCTCTTCTTAAAATGTGGGGCCTGAGCGTGGTGGCCTCTCTGAAATGAAGGGAAAGAAGCCCTTAAACATCGCAGTGTGGCCTTGTACGTATGGCTGTAGCTGCCTTACTGGTTCTTAACAAAAAGCCGTCGAGCAACACCTTCTATTTGTGCGACATGCGGAGTTTGGGAAGTGCTCTAATGGACAGCCATTTCTTTTGGCTGTCACTGCTCAGTGTAATGGCAGATAGGACAGTGTGATTATCCTGGCTTTTTAGATGAAACATTTTACTTTCTAAATCTCTAGGGTTCCGTTATTGCCTTTAGCGATGGCCTACAGTGGGTTGTGTGTATTTTTTGGAGTCTTTACTCCGCTGGGGTTTACCAGTGAGTTGCATCATCCACAGCATCTCAAGTAGAGTGGGAAGGCCTGGGAAAGGGACTTGGAAAGCCTGGGTTCTGGTACTGACCGTGCCCCTGAGCAAGTGCTATGCCTTCCTGCTTCTCTTTGCTGTTGCCTTAGGAGAGCTTATAAATTTAGAAGTCAGAGCAAAAGCCACCCCTGGGAGCCACGAGGTCAGAACGGGCATGCCAGCTTCTGTTCCCTGAAGAATCATTGTAACTCTTGGCACGAACACTTGACATTTTTCAAGATGGAAAAATACGGAAAGGAGAGCCTATGATACAGTCTTCCAGTGAGAGTGAGAAGTGAGCCAGATCTGCCATCTGGTCTCCCAGAAGCAGCGCGAGAGAAACCAGTTCGT